AGCCTTCGATCTAAAGGATATATCTTATGAAGAGCATGCATTAATGTACTGCATAGGACCACCAGTAGATGCACAGATATTCATACAACATAAATGTACGTACTATGATGACACTTAGGTTGAGAATATCTATACTTTTGTAGTGATACAGAAAGACAGCTTGGAGTGAAACCTATCAAACAAACAAGATTAGGACAGATCAGTCTCACTAATGGAAGCATTACAATAATACATTGCTATTCGGAGGTTTGATCTACCTCGTGTTGCCTAGTATAATAGCAGTAAACATTGACCTTGCAAATGGAAATTTCCTTTTCTTTCATAAACAGTCGGCTCCTGGGAAAAACTGTCAACACCGAAGTTCCTCCAATTCCGTCTCAAAATGGACAAAAATGAAGTTGGGTCAGAGCGTCCAGGAATAAAAAAAGCAAAACGCAGTTCTTTTCACACTTAAAGCCATAGAGTAATCTAGGTTACATGTCTCAGTTGCAAGCGCTGCCGTGGACTTTAAGCAACCTTCACGTGATTCAGTATCACAAGCTAAGCTCGATAAGCTAAAACAATGAGGGCAACTAATGTTTCTAGGTCAATGCATGGAAAGCAGTGTGCTGGGGCAGATGTTATATATAGGAACTGGATAAGATTAGATGTGGTAGTTGTGATTGCTTTTTGGCGGTGAAGTTTCTAATACAGGCACCTCGGCTAATTTCATACCATTAATTAGTGAATTAGTCCTGGTATCACAAGAATAAAAGTGAGTAGTTGGAGTGGTGAATATTCTAACAGGATATTGCAAATATCTTGCGTATATTGAACTAGAAAGTCAACTCTGATTTTAAAATGGGGGCTGTTCAGTGTACTTGTAAATTAGATCAAGAAAGTGAGAAAAACATTAGTGTATTGATAAAACAAATTAAACTAAACCAAAACAAAAAAGTTTTAGGTAATGTCGGCAGAGAGCACGGTGAAAAAAACCTTTGGATGGTTTTGTAAACCTCAAAAAGAAAAATGAATTAAAAAGAAAACGAAAACAATGTTAATTTTAAAGACTTAAAGTCTATTTAATCACAACAATAAGTGTTACAACTCGGAACAAAGAAGTCTTGAAAGGCAATTACTTCTGATTTTATCAGTAAAAAAGCGAAATAATGCCTTTGTTTGATAGAACATGCAATAAGGTCCAGTCTCCCAAACATAAATGTAAGACCAAACGATGCCTTGATATGAAATGTTGTAGTTCACACCCTTGTCGTCTACCAGACCAATTTTGATGAGCCTTAATTAGTTAGGGACTAACGATAACTATCTCACACTAATTTAAAAAGCATTTAAATTCACGATAAACGTTTGGCCATCCAGTGAGGTGGTGAATAGAACATCAAACAACGGAGTTTTGAGCCCCAAATATATTTTATTGCACTGATATTTAGATAAGCATTTTATATAAAAGAAACCAGAAAGAGTATTTTGCAAAATGTAGTCTTATAATGTTTTTAACCACCTTATAAAGTATGAAAAGTTTGAAAATGTGCAGAGATGACGTGTAGATCGTGTAGATATTCAAGATTTGAATAATTACTAGAATATGCAAACGGAACACAAACAATTTGGTCTGATAATTCGGATCAGTATTCGGGCTAAAGTTATTTTGTAAAATAGGATCCCTGCTATAATTCGAACCGCGAGGAGTCCCCTTGATTGCGCTTGTCGCAACTGACGCAATCATACTTGTTGTAGCACATTGATGTTTTTACTAAGGTGTGGTTGGAATGGTAGCCCGGGGAATGGAAGTCCAGTCTCACACATAATTAGTACAGGCTAGTCGGAGAATTGGAGTAAGTATATGGGACAAATGACACCTGAACAAAGAAATGGGGAACGGACTTTGGTTCCTAGTGGACTACCTTTCCTGTCACACCGGCACTGAGCAACCGCTTTTCAATATCACGCAGGTTACATGCTGTAGCTATATATGGCATTGATAATGATATCTTTTCCTAATTTCACATCTCGTGTTAATTTCATTTAACAATAGTTGTCTTGTAAATTGAAGCCATTTATAAATTGAAAAATATGAGCTTTTCCCGGTAATTATTACGCACGGGATTGGGAAGGAATTAGGAACAATACGAAAGTTCATGTATTATAGAAGACACATGGCACTATCATCAGTTGCTTTTCTAATGCTTTGAGAGAGAGAGAGAGAGAGAGAGAGAGAGAGAGAGGAAGACATACAGAGAGAGAGAGAGAGAGAGAGAGAGAGAGTTACCCTTTTTTACCCTTAAATTTCACCTGCTGAAAGGAACGCCTCCTTATCGTAAATGTCGCTCTCCAGGGTGAATGCACCCTTATTATCAATAGAGGATGGTTAACTTGGGACTGCGCAATATATTAAACTAACACGTACAGACTGGAGATAAAGGCTTAAAAACGCAAGTTCGTGTGGTGTGTATAGCTTCTTGTTTGAGAACATTTACCAATTGATCTTATGTACCTTGTATACATTATGTAAAAGGTGTTGTTAGCTTACAGTCGGCAAGGATCCAGCATGTTTCGCACTTATTTTTTGCACACAGCGCCCAATAATCTTATAAATCGGAAACTCTGCATTCCTCCGTCCAAACATACACAACTCGGGCGGATTCAAGAAAGGGGGAGGGATAAAGGAAGGGGTTCGATCTACCAGGTTCGTGATTTTAAGCCGGCGTTTCGTGAGAAGCGTCAAAAGTTATGTGCCTGTGCCTCCCCCCCCCCCCCCACTTGCCCCCT